ACACTTCGGAAGGAATATTGGGCAATCGGAAACCCAAGGAGGGGTCGCTATGAGTCGGGGCCGACTCGACGGCACATAACAACAACAACAACAACACTTCCATAGAGATACCACCTCAGAAACCTAAGGAGGAGTAGCCATGAGTCAAATGCAACTCCACGGCAGTGAGTGAGTTTTTAATATATATATAGTTTTAATACATATGTATACACCAAAGGAAAAACAAACAAACAAACAAACAAAAAACCAAACTCACTGCCATCAAGTCAATTCCTACTCATAGCAACCCCCATTGGGTTTCCAAGGCTGTAAATCTTTATGGAAGTAGATTGTCCCATCTGCCTTCTGTGGAACAGCTGGAGGGTTTGAACCACTGACTTTCTGGTTAACAGTCAAATGCCTTATCCACTACTACACCAGAGCTCCATATATACAAACACACACATATATAATACCATGTATAACATTTAATACACAATATGTCATACAGTTATATGACAATAAATAAATAAATAAATAAATAAACCCTCATTCTCATTGAGTCAATCCCAACTCATGTTTACCCCCTTTGGGTTTCTGAGGCAGTAAAACTCTACAGAAGTCTTCCTTCTGCAGAGTGACTGGAGTGTTTGAACTACTAACCTTCTGGTTAGCAGTCAAATGCCTTAGGCACTACAGCACCAGAGCTCCTTTCTGCAGTTTGGCCCCTTCTACAATAATATGGTACAGTACAATTAAATGAATAAAATGTTTCAGACTTCAAAATGCATAATAGCCATTTGGTCATTTTTTTTAATGCATTTCATTGAAATATGACTTATGTACAGTGACATATACAAAACCAAAGTGACATAGATCGATACATTTTTTTTTTTTTGCAGTGTTCCCTCCCCTCCCCTTCTACCTGGCATCCAGCAAAGAAAGTTTCCCTCCATATATAAATCTTTCCTTGACCCTCAGCAACAACGAACTAATGCTATATGTGTCCTTCTGTGATTGACTTCTGTGATGTCACTCAGCATAATATCCTCCAAGTTTATCCATATTATACAGTGTTTTGCAGATTCCATATTATTCTTTAGTGCTACATAGCATTCCATTATGTATATGTACCATAGTTTGGTCATTCACTCTTCTGCTATAAATCTTAGAGCTAAGTCCCTTGCCAGATACATAATTGAAAAATAAGAATTTGTTGCTGTCATTTTTGTTATGTGCTTTTTTGTGGTGTCGATTTCTTGGTTCTCTATAATTTTCTATGCTGAGCTTGTTTTATTTATGAATCATGTTATCATTTCCTTCATTGCTATTATTTTAGTATTTGCTAAATATTTATGCTGGTCCTCTTTTTTAATGTGAAGGTTTATCATTTTCCTTTGAGGTTACCTTATGATTTACAGTTTTCTTCCCAAGTTTAGAACGGTCTGTTCTATCTTGTAGTTGTCTTGACTTCCCTACCATCTAGAATTTCTGTAACGAAACAGAATTTTCCCTCTTTTTGGTTTATATTTGTCCTCATTTGTCAATTGATGTCTCTGGTTCCCTGTTTACAATCTTGTAGGCTTATTTACTTTTTATATTTTCATAGCAGGGTTGGTTTCTGGGTTATATCATCATGTGTGTTAATGGTCAGTTGTTGTTGGCTGTTGTTGCTTCTCTGTCCAAAGGGCTCCCTTTAGCATCTCTTGTAAGGTTGGTCTGGTTTTAACAAATTCCCTTAATTTCTGCTTATCTGGCTTGTAAACATTCAAAATGGCTGCACCCTCAGTCACTTTAAATATCCAAAATGGCTGCTATGTGTGAAGAATCAAAATGGCTGCACCCTCCGGACAGCCGAAGGTCAACAGCTCAGGTTGTCTCCCTCCTTGATGTGTCCCTTCCTAGTCATAGGACACCAGTGCAGTCGTCCCTGCAGCCCCTGGTGACCAGAGTTGATCTTTAGGTCAATTCTCCGGTCCCAATACTACTTGGAAATATTCAGGCTGTTGGTCTCTTCAGAGTAACTGACAGTCTACAGCTCTGACCATCTCTGTACTCACTGTTTTCATTCAGGTTTTTCTACTAGTTCATGCCTAATCCACTTCTGTACAGTTCCTTTCAAAGCTCAGGGCTCCAGGATTATCTTCTGTATCTCTGTCAATTGGTTTTTCTTTTCTTCGTTGAAGAGGGTCTGTGTCGCTTGTCTGCCTTACTCTGTTTTACCAGGGTATTCCTATTCTTGACTGTCTCTGGCGGACAGTCACTTTGTCGGTTAAGTGGAATTTTACTGCGCATGCTCTGCACCGGTGAGGTACTTGAAGGACAACTTTGAAGTTGGTCAGTTTTTGACAATAGTCAAGTTTGTGGGGTCTTTTGAAATTTCTTATCTTGCCTAAGGGCATGGTTTGTTAATCACAAGTAGTTTACTGTAGCCAGCAGCAATGTGGTTGTTTTCTATAAGACTATTCTAAGAATACTGAGTCAAAGGCTTGTTTGGTTTGGCTAGCCTGACTTTCTGCCTGGTTCATGACTCCCACCAGATAGATAACAGTACCATTGCCCTCTCCCAAAACATGACAACCCAAAATGACTCCAAATGTTGCCAATTGTCTCCTGAGGGACAAAGTGACTCTGGCCATTTGGTCTTTAGTACTTAACTGCAATAGCTAATTATCTATGGGTCTGCAATCAGAAGTATTGAAAGAAAAAGTATTAACTCATTAATTTTGGTTGATGAATTAGTTATTTATGTTATGAGAAGCCCAAATGGTTAGTTCATACATGAGATGTCAGAAGGTAAAATGTACTTTCTCAATCTTGTCTTCAGAAGTATTTCCCTACTCATCTACCATCAGTGCGAGAAATATCAAGTATTATGGAAAAATATGACACAGTAGTTAAAGCGGTTGGCTGCTGACCAAAAGGTTGGAGGTTTGAACCCTCTAGCCACACTGTGGGAGAGAGATTTTCAGCCTAGTAAACCCTATGGGGCAGTTCTACTCTGTCCTGTAAGGTCACTATGAGTCAGGATCAACTCATTGGTAATGGGTTTGGTTTGGGTTTTTCTACCTCCTCATCAAATTAGCATGTTAGCAAAAACAAGTCATCATAAATGTGGTTTGTCATAACTCATATATGTGATAAATCAGAGACTACCTGTATAACTTGTTTTGCTCTTCTTTATTTCTATGTTTTCAGTTGACATTTAGATCATCCATGAAATTATATGAATTGCAATGATATAATTAATAAAATTGATTCTAGTCAGCCTATTGCCTCACACTTGAGCATATAGTTTTAAGCATGGATTTTGGTATTTAAGCTGTATGTTTATAATTCCAAATTTAATGATAGTTGTACACTCTTTTGTTTTGTGTAGATTTACATATGGCACATTGGTTATATCTTATATGCTGAGGCTTATGAGTTCAGTCTAATGGCTGATTATTTCTTCTTAGGTGTTTGCTTGTAATTAAGGCAGTGATACCTTGTTCATTTCATAAGACCTAAAAGTGTGCATGGACAGAGTTTTCTCCTCTGAAATTATCCACTCTAAACCTCTTTGACTTTTTGAAGCCAAACCCTTTCATTTTTATTTCCTTCTCCCTTACTGCCTTCCTTCTTCTATTATGAGGGTTCTCTTCAGTGGCACAAGCATTTAGGTGCTGGTCTACTAACCGAAAAGTTTGGTGCTTCAAATCTACCCAGAGGCATAATGGAAGAAAGAACTGCCAAACTGCTTCTGTTAAGATACAGCTAAGAAAACCCATGGAGCAGTGCTACTCTCTAATACATGCAGTTGCCATAAGTCAGAATTGACTTGATGACGACTGTTTAGTTTTGTTTTTCTCTGAATAGAACCCATCTAACTGCAGAGGAGGCTTTCATGTTATTTTCCATAGTTCCTACACTCTCCTGCCATGTCCCTAGATGTCTACCACATGGTCTAAGACCACACAGGTCATAGTCATGAACAGGGGAGTAGGTGCATCATGACAACAACAGGGGAACCTCCTCCAATGAGCACCATTTTTTTCAGTACCAAGAGGGTGATTCTTTAGTTTTGTGAAAATGAGAGAAAATGTCTTTAAACACGAGTTTAGTTTCTAGAACCCTGTGCTGTTATTTAAAATGTTTTTAAAAGAACAGTGCTTTTTAGCAGCCTTTTGGCAGGGTCAATGTACATACAAATTTTACTTTCTCAGAAATATTTAAAAAAAGTGGTTTTTATCTTTATAGGAAGATATACATATTTAAAGGTTTTAAAGTAATTATCAATGAGAAAAATTAAACAGGCAGTATAAAATTTGGAAAGTGCAGAGAACTTATGTAGAATGAAATTAAAATCATCAGTGCCTAAGACATTTGACTGCTAACCAGAAGGCTGATGGTTGAAACCCACCAGCCACTCCTTGGAAGGAAGTTTGAGCAATCTGCTTCTGTAGTGATACTGCTTCAGAAACCCAAAGAGGGGTCACTATGAATCGGATCTGACTCAAGGGCAGTGGCTTTATTAACATATAATACATTGTATTTATAGTCTTTTTTCTCTCAAGAGTTTTTAATGTACTTAATATTATATCATACATACAATTTGCATCCTACATTACGTTTAACAAAAGAGGCAAAGTGAAATAACATAATTTTTCTCATTTGATTAAAGATCTTTTTACAATAATTCAAAAGGCTACATGTTATTTTAATATATAAATGTGTTGTATCTTACTGTATTGGTAGATATTTAGATTGCTATCATTTTATCATAAATAGGTGCAATATAATACAAAAGTTAAACTAAAATGCAAATAGTTTAATTATGATGGAGTTTTATAAATATACTCTAAATTATCTTTAATTATTTAAAGTTCATTCTATCTTAGTAAAACTATAACCTATGTATTGGTTCCCTTAAGTTTTCAATAGTTTATTATTATCTTCAATGTAAAAATTTTATTGGTAAACATTTTAACTTTGGTTAGTTCTGTATCTACCAAACTGGCTTAATTCTTCATAAATTTTGAAAACATCTGTTGATTTCATAATGTGGGAAAGACATACATAAAATTTAAAAAAAAAAAGCAAAAACAAACCATTTTGAAGTCATCTCTGACTCATGGTGACCCCCTGTGTGTCAGAATAGAACTATGCTCCATAGGGTTTCCAAAGGCTGTGATCTTCTGTAAGTAGATCACCAGGCCTTTCTTCCAAGGTGCCTCTGGGTGGATTCAGTCTGCCAACCTTTTGTTTAGGGCTGAGTGCTTAACCAATTGTGCCACCCCAAGCAATTGTGCCACCCCAGGGACGCAATTGACATACCTAAAATATAACTCACTTAACTAAAATGTAATATTTCCATCAATTTCTTTTAGAAAATGCTGGATTATTTTTTAAATTGTAAATCCTTTTTCTCTTTGTAGTCTGTGGTTGGGAGTGGTAGCTGGCAGCGGGTCAATGCCCAGATGGCTGTGAGATCTCCTCGGTATGCAGTATTTGATCTTGCTGATGGGAAGACTTATGTGTTCCGAGTTTTGTCAGCAAATAAGCATGGCCTAAGTGACCCATCAGAAATAACTTCTCCCATTCAAGCACAGGACACAATTGGTAAGCTATTTCACTGAGTAACTAGAATTTGGGGACATTAGTGCACAACACATGGGTTGGACTCCCAGCCAATGCACCTCATGTATAGCCATCACTGTCTGTCAAAGGAGGCTTGCATTTTGCTATTATACTGAACAGATTTCAGGAAAGCTTCCAGATTAAGGAAGACTTGCTGATAAAGATGGCACAGAATCAGGCAATAGACAGTGCTTTGATCCCTATGCATGGGATTGTGGATGAAATTGCCATGAGTTAAGGGTGGGAGGGGCAAATTGACAGCAATTAACAACAAAATCCAAAATTTAAGATGACACTTGATAAACACTGAAATATATTAATAAAGACATTAATATTGCATATTAATTAAAATTCAAGTTGCTTTAAAGTGACATTTTATAAGACATTAAGAGTTCTATAGGAGCTCTGGTAACGTAGTGCCTAAGGCACTTGACTGCTAACCAGAAGGCTGGCAGTTCAAACCCACTAGCCACTCCTTGGAAGGAAGGTTGGGCAATCTACTTTCGTAGTCATACTGCCTCGGAAACCCAAGGAGGGGTCGCTATGAGTCAGGTCTGACTTGAGGGCACATAACAACAACAACAACAACAACAACAAAGAGTTGTTGGTTGGTTGGTTCTCAACATTTCTCCAATGTTCTTTTTCTTTTTATGAAAGCTATTTTGTTATATAAAACTGATTCTGACTCATAGACACCCTGTACGACAGAGTAGAACTTACCCACAGGGTTCCCAAAGCTATAATCTTTAAGGAAGCAAATTGACACATCTTTATGTTATAGAGCAACAGCTGGAGAGTTTGAACCACTGAACTTTCATTAGCAGCCAAGTACTTAACCACTGCACTACCCTGACTCATTATAAAACAAATAAATGAGTTAAAAATAATTTTAGGCAACAGTTACTTTTTAAAAATTCTCAAGTCTAAATGCACTAGAATTTATTATTGTCCACATGGTTTGAAGATGTTCTCTCTGAAGATTTAAAACATAAATCATAGTAATTCTGTATTGAAATTCACTTAGGAATTATAGCAATAAAAAGAGATCTTCTTGAAATGCTTTTAAGACATTGTGATGGAGAAATTTTAGTTGTCAAGAATACTAATTTTGAATAACTAGATACATATTGCCTTTCTTCTTTACAACATATTTTTATGATAAAGATATCAAGATAAACAAGATGATAAGCCTTACATTAGTACTGTAATCACAAAGCTACCTCCAGGTCATACTTGGGTTTCAGCCTGGTTCTGCCTAGGCCCATAACCTTTTGCACCCATGGTTGTTTGCAACGAGAACTTACATCCAGAGTTAAGTACTGTTAAGACCCCAGAACTATAGATTTCAAGAGACCTAGTTCTCTCAGTAAGTGTTCCAAACTTTTTTTCACTTGTGACACATATAAAAAACCAAACCAAACTCACTGCCATCTAGCCAATTCAACTCATAGTGATCCCTCCTTGGGTTTCTGAGGCAGTATCTCTACAGAAGTAGATTATCCAATTTTCCTTCCGAGGAGTGGCTGCTGGGTTTGAACCGCCAGCCTTCTGGTTAGCAGTCAAATGCCTTAGGTGCTATACCACCACATCTCTCTATGACACATATGTTGTTGTTGTTGTTATTTGCCGTCGAGTCGGCCCGACTCATAGCGACCCCTCCTTGGGTTTCCGAGGCAGTATCACTACGGAAGTAGGAATGCCCAACCTTCCTTCTGAGGAGTGGCTGGTGGGTTTGAACCGCCAACCTTCTGGTTAGCAGTCAAGTGCCTTAGCCACTATGCTACCAGACACATATAGAGGATGATAATAAGTGTATAGAACAGTGAGGCACATGGATGGGGCAACTTGTGGCCAGACCATGTTGGCCCTGAGAAATCTACAGCACCAAAGACTGAAGGGAGCAATGACCACAGCTCACATGTAGCTCAGTTGAAGCTCACTAGTGGGCTCCACACTCAGATGTGGAGGGCGGGGGAGGAGCTAGGGGCTGAGACAGAGCCATGGGAATCCAGGTAAGGGCAGGCAGACAGGCCACACACCAAAGAGACAGGAAGTGGGGGGTGAAGCTGGGATGACAGAGCCACAGGATCTAGGTAAGGGGAGGAAGACAGGCCACACACCCAAGAGGCAGAAAGGGTGGGGGAAAGCCAGGGACAATAGAGCTGTGGGATCCAGGTAAGGGGAGGTGGACAGGTTTCAAACAGCTAAGGAAGACAAACTTGTCTGTCAGTTTGTTGTACTGTGGTGGCCTGTGTGTTGTTGTGAGGCTTGAGGTTGTGTCACCGGTGTCTCAAATGCCAGTAGGGTTGCACATGGTGCACAAGTTTCAACACAGCTTACAGACTGAGACAGACTAGGATGAAGGAAGAGTCCATCCACTTCTCAAAGAATTGGTCAGGGAAAACCTTATGAATAGCAGAGAAACACTGTCTGATATATTACTGGACAACTTTTTGAATATCCCTGAAACAATGTCTGAGATGGTGCAAGAAGACCAGCCCCTTAGGTCAGAAGAGACTCAAAATATGAACAGGAAAGAACTACATCATCAGAGTAGAACCAACTTTAATAATATGGAATAAAGTAAAAGTTTTGAGACCTCCATTTGCTGATGTAGCATGACTCAATTTGAGGAGAAACAGCTGCAAACATCCATTAATCATCAGAACATGGAATGTACGAAGTATGAATATAGGAAAATTGGAAGTTGTCAAAATGAAATGGAATGCTTAAGATTGATATCCTAGACATTAGTGAGCTGAAATGAACCAGTTTTGGCCATTTTGAATCAGACGACCATGTGATCTACTATGCCGGGAATGACAGTTTGAAGAGGAATGGCATGGCATTCATCATCACAAAGGATGTTTCAAGATCTGTCCTGAAATACGATGCTGTCAGTGATAGGATAATATCCATATACCTACAAGGAGGACCAGTTAATACTATGATTATTCAAATTTACCCACCAACCACCAAAGCCAAAGATGAAGAAATTGAAGACTTTTATCAACTTCTGCAGTCTGAAATTGTTTTAATTATCACTGGTGACTGGAATGCAAAAATTGGAAACAAAGAAGGATTACCGGTAGTTGGAAAATTTGTCGTTTGTGATAGATATAACACTGGAGACCACATGATAGAATTTTGCAAGACCAGTGACTTATTCATTATAAATACCTTTTCTCAACAACACAAATGGAGGCTATACACTGGGACATCACCAGATGGAGTACACAGGAATTAGATTGACTAAATCTGTGGCAAGAGACAATGGAAAATCTCAATATCTTTAGCCAAAACAAGGCCAGGAGCTGATTGTGGAGCAGAAAATCAACTGCTCATATGCAAATTCAACTTGAAGTTGAAGACAATTAAATCAAGTTCACAAGAGCCAAAATATGACCTTTAATATATCCCTCCTAAATTTAGAGACAATCTAAAGAATAGATTTGATGCATTGACCACCAATGACCGAAATCCAGAACAATTGTGGGATGCAATCAAGAATAACATCCATGAAGAAAGCAAGAGGTCATTAAAAAGACGAGAAAAGAAGAAAACACCGAAATGGATGTCAGAAGAGACTCTGAAACTTGCCTGTGAGCAGAGAGAAGCTAAAGCAAATGGAAGAACTGATAAGATAAAAGAGCTGAACAGAAGATTTCAAAGAGCAGCTCTAGCAGACAAACCCAATTACTATAATGAAATCTGCAGAAACCTGGAGTTAGAAAACCAAAAGGGAAGAACATGCTCAGCATTTCTCATGCTGAAAGATCTGAGGAAAAAAATTAAGCCTTGAGTCGCAATATTGAAAGATTCTATGGGCAAAATATTGAATGATGCAGGAAACATCAAAAATAGATGGAAAGAATACACAGAGTCACTGTACCAAAAAGAACTGGTCAATCTTCATCCATTTCAGAAGGTGGTATATGATCTAGAACCAATGGTATGGAAGGAAGAATCCAAACCTGCACTGAAGGAATTGGCAAAGAACAAGGCTCCAGGAATTGAAGGAATACCCATTGAAAAGTTTCAACAAATGGATGCTCTTCTGGAGGCACTCACTTGGTTATGCCAATAGATTTGGAAGAGAGCTACCTGGCCAACTGGCTGGAAGAGATCCATATTTGTACCCATTCCAAAGAAAGGTGATTCCACAGAATATGGAAATTATTGAACAATATCATTAATATCAGATGCAAGTAAAGTCTTACTGAAGATATTTCAAAAATGATTGCAGCAGTATATTGACTGAGAACTTCCAGAGATGCAGGTTAGATTCAGAGGAGGACGTGGAATGAAGTATATCATTGCTGATGTCAGATGGATCTTGGTTCAAAGCAGAGAATACCAGAAAGATGTTTACCTGTATTTTATTGACTATGTAAAAGCATTTGATTGTGTGGATCATAACAAATTATGGGTAACATTGAGAAGAATGGGAATTCCAGTACACTTAATTGTGCTCATGAGGAACCTATATATAGATGAGGAGGCTGTTGTTCGAACAGAACAAGGGGACCCTGCATGGTTTAAATCAAGAAGGGAGTGTGTCAGGGTTGTGTCCTTTCACCATACTTATTCAATCTGTATGCTGAGCAAATAATCTGAGAAGCTGTATTATATGAAGAATAATGTGGCATCAGGATTGGACAAAGAATTATTAACAACCTGCAATACACTGATGACACAATTTCGCTTGCTGAAAGTGAGGATGACTTGAAGCATTTATTGATGAATATTGAAGAATACAGTCTGCAGTATGGATTACATGTCAATATAAAGAAAACAAAAATCCTCACAACTGGACCTATAAGCAGCATTACGATAAATGGAGAAAATATTGAGATTGTCAAAGACTTCACATTGCTTGGTTCTATAATTGATGCCCATGGAAGCAGCAGTCAGGATATTAGATGACGTATAGCACTGGGCAAATCAGCTGTAAAGGAGCTCTTTCAAGTGCTAAAAAGCAAAGCTATCACCTTGAAAACTAAGGTGCGCCTGACACAAGCCATGGTATTTTCAATTGCCTCATATGCATGTGAGAGCTAGACAACGAATAAGGAAGATGAAGAAAAGTTGATGCTTTTGAGCTGTAGAGCTGGTAAAGAATGCTGAAAGTACCATGGACTGCTAAAAGAACTAACAAATCTGTTCTGGAGGAAGTGCAGCCAGAATGCTCCTTGGAAGTGAGAATGGCCAGATTTGGTCTCACCTACTTTGGTCATGTTGTCAGAAGGGACCATTCCCTGGAGAAGGATGTCATGCTAGGTAAGGTGAATGGTCAATGAAGGAGGGGAAGGCCCTCAACAAGATAGATTGACAAAGTGGTTGCAGCCATGGACTCAAATATACCAAGGATCTTGGAGCTGGTGCAGGACCAGGCAGTGTTTCATTGTGTTGTGCATAGGGTCACTATGAGTCGGAAACGACTCAATGGCACGTAACAACAACAACAGTAGGCTTCAGGCCTAGGTGTGAAGCTTTGATCATCAAATCATGATTTGTGAATTACTTACTGATTCTGAGGAATCTTACAGAAATATGTTTTATTTTATAATAATTGGTAACAAAAAGTTGTTCTTCCCAAAACAATTATTACCCAGTTAAGCAAAACATTTATGCACCAGAATATTGTTTTAAACCCGGTGGTGTTAAAGGATATTTTATTATATATATATATATATATATATATATATATATATATATATGTGTGTGTGTGTGTGTGTGTGTGTAATGTGTTAGACACAAACTATTACCATGTCTGGGGTGCAGGGAAACTAGAGTTATAATTTCTCATTTTCATTTTCTTTTTGCCATCTCTGTATTTTCTTTGTGATTTTGACCAAGTCAATCAATTTCATTGTAAAATTCCCACACTGTCCCACAAGAATATTGAAAGGATTACATCAAGTATTAAAAGGTGAAAATGCATTGATATATATATGTGCGTGTGTGTGTGTGTGTGTGCAGACAATTGGAAAGATAGAGGAAATGAGAGTCCAGAAATTCACATTTTTCCCCTGTGGTTGTTAACCTATTGCTATTTCCCTATTCCTTTTTCTGTAGTCTAAATTTTATTCAAAGCTCTATACTTGGTTACTTGGTTTACCATTTCCTGAAGTATAATGGGCTTGAAGGTCTCTGGCATATCTTCCAAACCTCTGATACAATGAACTGCATGAAAACCACAAATTTATTTAACTAGTGACTTACTAAGCCATGATATATAATAAATCATTCACTCTTTCTAGCAAATATTGGTTATTAAGTCTAAGATATTTTATCTTCTTTGCGAAGTTATTCCTTCTGCTCCTGGTCGGGTACTTGCCTCAAGAAATACTAAGACATCAGTTGTGGTGCAATGGGACAGACCAAAACATGAAGAGGACCTATTGGGTTACTATGTGGACTGTTGCATGGTAGGAACCAACAATTGGGAACCATGCAATCACAAGCCCATTGATTATAACAGGTAAATTACAGGCTCTTGTATGAATGCCTCCTGCCTACCTAAGTCCTAGAAATCACTATCTTGAAATAAACCATGTCTCTTCTTTAACAAGAAAAAGCTAAATGTGAACCACATAGTGCTCGTAATAGTATGCAATGTAGACTATAAATACTGGTGCCATTTCTGTCTGTAAAAATGAGTTTGCTTTCTTATTCACGTGTAAAGACATATATAATTTAAAAGTTTGACAGCTTAAAGTTGACATATTTTGATGAGCTAGTTATTAAAGACTTTGTGGAAATGATTTGTCATTTTATGAACCATTCCAGAACTTTGGTTTTCCTGATATAATTAAATGCCTTTAAGACTTATCTTTGAGTAAGAGAGCTAAAACAGCAACTACAATGGGAAAGTAGTCATTTTGTTTTTCCTTATTGATTGTTCAAACCTTTAAAATTGCTTTGTTCATGTAACTGACAGCCCTATACTTTAGCCCTCCAGTTGAGACTTAACCAGTGAGGGCATTTTTCTCCCTTGGAGGGGGTGGGGCAAGAAAGATGTTGGCTTCCTTTGCAGTGGAAAGCAAGCAGCTCAGCTTTTGGAATTGATTTACTCCCGTTTCATGCTGAGTGTGCAGGGGTTGTCTGAGTTTATTAAGATTTCTCCATGATATGCTTCTTAGGAAAATATAAGCAGCTGTCAGATTCACCATTTGTGGATAGGTTGTCAATTATTGTTCAGCCATTTTCCCTCTTTAAATCATTTTTTTTTCTTTTTTTAAATAAATTGGAAAAAAGCTGTATGTGTGAAAGAAGATGTGTTTTAAGGGGGATAATAGATGTCATTCTCTAGTCCTTTACCAGAAAATAAAGATATATTTGAATTAAAAAAATTAAAACATTATTCTGTTGCAGAAATTTGTAAGTGGTTAATAAATATTAGCTGAATGAGTAAGATTGTTTATATTTACTGAATACTTATCATATGCAAACAACTCTGCTAAACACTTCCATTTTCCAATTTAAGGCTTAAAACAATGCTGTGAGGTAGGTATTATTATTTCCATTTACAGATGGCAAAACAGAGCCTTACAGAAGTTAAAGAACTTGATTAAGTTCACAAAATTTGTGTCAAAGTCAGTATTCAATTCCAGTCAATGTGACTTCAAAGTCTTGGACTTCAGTAACTGCATTACAACTATTTCATTTTTTTTAAAAACATATATAGGGTTCTTTTAGGTAGGCAGTTGAGTACTATTTTATAAAACACCTTTGATTTAATCAAAACCTTGTTGTTGTTGTTGTTAAGTGCCATCGAGTCGTTTGCGACTCATGGTGACCCCACGCACAGCAGAACAAAACACTGCCTGATCCCGCGCCAGCCCCACAATCACTGCTATACTTGAGCCCATCATCGCAGCTACCATGTCAATCCATCTCCTTGAAGGCCTCCCCCTCTTTCGTTGACCCTCCACCCTACCAAGCATGACATCCTTC